CACGGAAAATGTATACCATTTAAAAAGGCTGTATAAATTTTCACTCACGAGTATCTCGTAATCAGCAATAAAATACATAGTACGAAGATGAAGGATTGATATGGCGTGCTCGCCATACTGAGACTGTTTGTTTAACAGCGTTAAACGCGGGGTTACACTTTCCGTATTCCAGAAATTTCACCGTTTACCTCGTAATCGGATCAAGTATCGGAGATGGAGTTACACTTCTAGTCAAAGCGTCTATTCTCGGGCCGCACGGAACTTGATGGAAGTTGAAGCAACGCGTTTCATTATACGAAGTGCAGCGACAGCAATTTTCCATGATGTCGTTGAGCTTGTTTTCACCTGTTCCGTTATAAAAAATGGTTGGTCAATTTTACGTTAATTTTCCGGTATTAGAAATAACCGGAACGCGGGAGAACGCTGGCGGAAAAAGGGTGCACATGGCCGTAAGTACTCGGAGAAAATTGCGCAAATACGCGGAATGTCATCTGAGAGCGAAAGAGGAAAGAAAAAGAAACGAAGTATCTCGTAGAATTATTAAATCGTTCACTGTTACGAATTTCTTGAAAATCGCTAATTGCTGGAACAACGTCTCATGGTTATTTATAAGTCATATTTATAACAAACACTGAGAGACTTTTTATTCATGCATCAGTTCCTGAATCACATGATTCGACTAAGAGAATTCGTTGCTTAATTAGAATTGCGAACGTTCACTTCGAGCGAGCTCTCGATTTACTTCTTTTTTTCCCCCTGGCTGTACGATCGCCTCGTAGAAATTTCGAACTGTCGAAATCAAAGATCTTATGTAATAAATATATTGTATCGTACCACTCGCTAGTAAGAACGCGTCTAAATAGTATCCAACTGTTACAATTCCAAGCTGTCAGCCAATCACTCGAACGTGTGTGCATTGTGCACCAAAGAGAACATACATTTCCGCCACGGAATATATCTACGTTTAATTATCCGATGCATACGCTTTCTAGCATCGAATAACTTTCACTGTTTATCAATATTAAGATGCTTCGCGAACGCTCCTCGAAATACCAAATTTCCTGTGTGACGTGTGTTAACGAATCAACGATCGTTACCGAAACGGTTCATCACGAAAGTATTAACTGGAGGTTAGAATAATGCGTCCAAAGTTCCTTGGAACGTCGTTCGTGAATCAACGGTGAATACAATGTGCACGAGACAGCTCCCTTTTTGCAACGATATGTGTGCAACAGCTCGTATTTTTAACCGTATGACGTAGAAGAGAAACAGTCAGTAACGGCATGGTTGGTGAACGGAAGATCGTAGACGTGACTGTCTGGTTACGAATAGACTTATTTCCACAATCGGTGTCATCGGGATTTGTGGCTGACCAACGGCTGCAACCACCTTGGCACGAATTCCCAATTGAGTGGCAACTGGCAAATTCACTATTCCCGCGCATATCCGTTGTTTTTTCGACCACAGAATTATCGACTAACTGCAACTTCTGTTCGATCTACACTGTCCTGAAACAAAGTATAAGATGTTCCTATCCTTAACCTCGGCCTCGACCTCGATCTTGATCACACGCTAAAACTTCTGCAACGTTTAAATTTCTAAAGATTTTCGACAGATCGTTGAAATTAAAATGTCCAGGGATATTTTTATATAGCGCGATAGTGATCTATGTGTTGGACGTTGCTTTCCTTCTTTGTCAAGAATTTCAATCAAGAGCGTTGTTTAGTAGGTTTGAATGAACTTATTGTTAATACGAGATGAAAGAAGTGATCGTTTCAAAGCTATGCAAAATCCTTAAAGTGATAAAATCTTTAATGTGAATGACTGCCGCGACCTTGCCTCGAAGTTTTCCATCTGCATAATTTGCATCGATCAATATTGCAGAGAATAATTATCAGAACATATGTACTTGTTTTTGCCCACAGTGCGTTCTTTACCAAATGATGTATGAATTCTTATCAATGATTTGCGGGTACTTGACGAATGTTTCGTACAATACATTATGATATCGATAAAAAATATAAAATCGAAAAACAATATAAAACCATGCGAGAACTCGTTTGGCCGAATATCGACTAGTTTCGTATTAAAAATGGAACAAGCCTAAATAAATATTTAGCATGTTGAAAAAGATATGCCTCGCCCTGGTATTTTATGAATTAAATAGCTTTAGGCGCGTTTGTCGATCTTTATGTTTTTATTTGAAATCTTCGATCGTATTAATTTGAATTCGACAAAAGTTTGAATAATACATTCGACTGAAAATATACAATAATAATGAATCCATTAATAGATGTTTAGATAATACATATATATGTATATATAAATAGACGCTGATCAACATTAACCTGTGATTTATGTTTCAGTATCAGCATTTTATATGCCACCAAAACTGACATCAAACCAGTTGTCATCTGTGACTCACGAACAGACTCATAGTGTTTCCTTTCTCTCCTTTTACTTTATCCTCTTAAATCGTGAGCCGTGATTCGATAATACTTTATTGGGAAACGAATTTGAGAAGTAATGAATTAAATATTATATATTCAAAAGTAGTTTCACTACATGAAATACTTTAATTATTTATACATAACACGTGCAATGTACTATATACAACAGTGTTACGTATATTTTGTAGTAACGCGCAACTTGGTACATATTTGTAAAACAATGCGAAAGTATCAGTTTTCAAATCGACGTATACCATGTTAGACCTGTGATGTTAAATAAATCTAGCTGTAATAAAGAGGATAACCTTTCTGTTTCTAAAACATCGAACAACTAATTTACGTGTATCAAATTTTGATTGGTTGTTTGGATCGACAGAATTGACGAATTAAATATCACACACTTTGAACAATTTATAAACTACATTTTTTTTGTAATTATTTCATAAATTAATCAAAGTCACGTAGGAATAAAGAAATTAAATATTGATAATGTTTTAATGTTTGTTTTATTGTTGCTTCTATAAACATAACACGCGGCGTCTAAATTTATATTCTTCTCGGTTCGTGCAACTTTCTGAGGCTTCCATCATTTCGCAGAAAACCACCTACCAACTCTACGTAATGAGCTTCTGACGTAGAACCCAACAATTACGCAAGGGAATTGCAATGATGCAACGGAAATCTTCACAAATTGTATAATACTTCATAATCGTTTTGCGACGACGTTCCACCGCGATATTATTTTTAATTTCATATAATTTGTTTACTCTTCACTTCGAAATTGTTCAATTTAAATAACGAAAGATACAATTTATTAAAAAAGTATATACTTTTTTTTACAGATATTACAATGTTTATATTGATTTTATATTGATAAATATGTAACCGTTGAATGTTAAAGCATGCAAAGGAAAGAGAATAAAACTATTTGTTATTTACATTATAAAATATATTTAACCTTCAGAATTCATACATAAATATAGAAAGTCATATATTAATGTTTCTTTCCACGTTTCTTCTGACCTTTTCGATTTCCTCTACCGTTCCTTTTACGTCTTCGTTCGAGCAATTTACGTGTCTTTAAAATTTCTTCTGGACGTTTCAGTTCTTTATTCTTTATAATCTTTTCCTTTATCTTTTGATTGTGCCGTGCCCAATGTGTATTAGCCGTTGTGTGCACTGAAATAGATAAACAATAATTGAATATAGCATCTATACACATAAGTAATAAACTATTAGATATAAATATTATCCTTCACATACGTTTCTGTACTTGTGAAGGTTCTTCTTCACTATCATTATCATCATTTGTAGCATCTATTTTGGTTTTCTCTTTCCAGGCTGAATAACGGTTTGATTTGTAACTGACAGGTAACCAAGCTCCAGACTCTGTTCGTATTTTACTAACTTTCCGTTCCTTTAAAAATAATATTCATTTAAAATGTTTTGCAACTTACAAATTGTTTAATCATGTAAGGTACGTACCTTATTGGTGGTAACCATTTTCTTTTTCTTGCGATCCCATTTTTTTATTTGCGTTTGAAGTCGCTGAGATTCTTCGTTATCTGCAGTTAAGTCCATTTGTACTTTTTCCGCTTCCGTGTTGAAAGAATTAACAGCTAAACTGTAAGAAAACGGATAAATATAACTTATCGTTAAAATTATTTTACTATAAACTTACCCTTCTTCTGTGTGTTTATCTGGGGCAGAATATGGAATAAAGAATTCTTCGTCGCGTGTTACTAATCGTTTCTTTTTTTTAGAAGGTTTATATAAATCATCTAGTTTTCTTTTCTTTGGAAGTACAATTGTATTAAACACTGCATTAATTTCATCATTTGTACTTGATGGAAGATTCACTTTTTTAACCAAATCTACAATATATTATTAATAATTAAATGGAAACTATATAGATCTCAGTAACTTATTAAAGTATGTACCTACCTTCTGAATTTTTTCTAGCTTCTACCTCTTCTGCTTTTCTACGAAAATTTGTAATATTTTCTTTATGTAACGTACGTTTCTTTTTCATAACCTGATAGTCAAGTGATGATGTTTTTGCTCCAATTTCAAAAACCGTCTAAAAGAAAAAAGTATTTATATGTAATAAAGCAAAATAATTTATACAATATAATTAATGCAAATTTGAAAGATTACATACCCCTTGTGGTTTATAATTTAATATTTTCGATAATAAATTCCTAGTATTAGAAGAAATATCTGAATATTCTGGTATAACACCTGCTTTGCCAATGTTTAACTCTTTAACCCTCTTTATACTGTCCGAAGAAGGTGCAGGTCGTGATCGAATATATTGTTTATATGCATTATCACAAACTTTTTCCATATTTTTCTGTACATGACACAAAATTATTCTGTACAAAATTATTAATGTGCTTTAAACAAGTAACTTAAAAATACATACGAGATCAGCGGAACAATTGTGCCAATTTATTAATTCCGCAAGCTCTTCTTCTATCATAGCTTGTGGCATTTTACCAATAGCACCATCTGTATTCTCTAATGACCCAGAAAGAGGAATAATACGCAATGAACGACCAAGGAAAAGATGTAAATCTACCAAATAAGCATATTCATCTGGAGCCACGATATTATACGCAGTTCCAGAGCGACCTGCTCGCGCACAACGACCTGTTACAAGAATTATTAATGTTATATATACTTTTATGCAATTTTGAATCTAACCTGGTTGCTTACCTACTCTATGTACAAAGAGCTTTGATTTTGCAGGAAAGTTAAAATTAATTACATTATCCAGATGTGGAATATCTAGACCTCGAGCAGCAACATCTGTTACTACTAGAACTCTAGCTTTTCCAGATTGAAATTTAGCTGCATTTATTTTTCGGGCTGCTGGATCCAAATTGGAATAGATAAACGTGTTACAAATTCCTGCCATCTCTAATACCTATTCATAAAATGTAATTATTATACATGCAACTACACATTAAAATTAGAATGCAATTTTCCCTTACATACCTGATGAATATATTCAACATGATGCATTGTTGCAGCAAATATTACCGTTTGAGCATCACTTTTAATAACGTTTTTTAACAAACATAACATTACTGCCAGTTTTTCTTCTGCACGACATACTATAAATGAAAGTGTTAATTGTTCTGGTATTTTACTTTCTACATCTAAACGTAATAAAACGGGATCAGTTAATCCAGCCCTTGCAAAATCTACTAAAATTTTAGGTAATGTTGCAGAAAACAATAATGTTTGTCGCGATTCAGGTAATCTATTTGCAATTTCAGTAATTTGTTCACCAAAACCCATCTCAAATAATCTGCAACAAAATTTATCAGTTATAATTTATGATGCTTAAAATAAGGATTATATGTAATATTGGAAGCAAAATTTTTACCTATCAGCTTCATCAAAAACCACATATTCAATATTATTTAATTGTAAATCCATCTCAATGCATATATGTAGAAATCTTCCTGGTGTAGCTACTAATATATCAGGATTTCCATGAATTGCATTAAATTGATTTTCCATACTATCTCCTCCCAAAATTACAGCTGCTTTTAGGCCTGTGAATTTGCCTATTTCTTTTACAAACTTTAATGTTTGTAATGCTAATTCACGTGTAGGTGATAAAATTAAAGCTCTTGCACCAGCTTTTGCTTGCCTAGCTTTAAGTTTTTCAAATAAAGGAATTAAAAAACAAGCAGTTTTTCCACTACCTGTTCTAGCCATTGCCACTACATCACGACCTTCTAAAGCTAAAGGAATTGTCTACAGAAACACAATTTATGTTAACAAAAGGTATACTAGCAACTGAGTTTAAAAACCATTTAGTTATTTTAATCAACATTTTGTAACTTACTTTTCTTTGTATAGGTGTTGGTATTTTATATCCGCGTTTTAATATACCTTTTAATACAGGGAAACTAAGAGCCATAGATTGAAATCCACCTGATTTTTTACATGCTTTCCTTTTCATATTAGTAATTTCGTTTTCTTCATCATCATCACTTATTTGATTCGGATCGCCAAATCCCACAATATTTGTGTCTTTCATTTTTTAATTTTATAATTTACCTTGACGATAATGTACATTTAACAAGTAACCTAAAAAATATACCACTTAACACGTGGTATTATTTTATAGTTATAACAACTATAAATTAACAACTATAAATTGCAGATATTTTTAGCTTACCTATTGAATGTCACAACAAATTCTATTACATAGTAATAGTTACAAGTTGTTTCTTATAATTCATTATTATCAAAAAAAATTTTTACTTTTGTTATATACGTTAACTTAGCAGTCAGTGCTTTCAACTTTATAAAACTATGTGTATTGTATTCAATTTATAGAAACACATTTTTACTTAAACTCTTTAAGATATACATACTTTATGTTATATATTTGTTATTACATTTATCAATTTACTTATGCTTCCCATTATTTTTAGTTTTTAAATAATTAAATTTAATCTAAAATATGTCAAATTTAGTTTTAGAATATTGGTACTGTTTGATGCACACGCAACATACTATATGTACAAGAAATCGGCCATTTTTGTGAAATCCGTGTTTTCTTGGTAACTCAACATGAGGTAAATGAAAGTTTTAATGAGATATATATCCGTCAAATTAAGTACAATCGTTTAAAATGTTTTAGATATACTAAAGAAATTGAGTCATTAAAATATTTTTAATAAATATGCTATCAATCTTTTTAGGATCGGACTTTGTGCATACAGTGGATATAAAATATATCCAGGCCATGGTAAAACCATGGTTAAAGTAGATGGAAAAGTATGTATAATGAAATTTATATATATCTATTGTTATAATGTTACAGTCTAAGCTATCTATTTTAGTTACTTAGTAATCAAACACCATCAATTTTTTGTTTTTCTTACATTCGTTTGCCAACCTTAACCTCTATGTCTTTTAGACATTCACTTTTTTAAACTCAAAATGTGAATCTGCACATTTAATGAAACGTAATCCAAGGAAAGTCACATGGACTGTACTATACAGGTATGTTTACCATCAATTGTTTTGTATTATTCAAAATGAAAAGTAGACATAGAATGTAATTTAATATTACAGACGGAAGCATAAAAAAGGACAAGATGAGGAACAAACAAAGAAGAGGACAAGACGTACTCAAAAATTCCAACGTGCTATTGTAGGTGCATCACTTACAGATATTTTGGCAAAACGTAATATGAAACCAGAAATTCGGAGAGCACAAAGGGAACAAGCAATTATGTAAGTATAATTTATATGTAGACACAAGAATGTAATTTTATTATTGCATTTCATGTTATAAATAAAAGCAACTATTATAGACATCTGTTCCTTTGACATAGTATTCCATATCATGTTTGATTTCAGAATGTCTTAGAGTAACTGGATTGCTTCACCCAGAATTGTATATTTTTTTACACTGTCTGGCTTTTGCGGATTCAAACAATTTTAATAATATTGTACATATCATTACCTATATTTTTTAAAGTGTTTAATTCATGTTAACTTTTGATTTCAGAGCTGCAAAGGAACAGAAAAGAGCTGCAAAAGCAACAAAGAAAGCAGTTGTAGCTCCTAAGACAAAGACTTTGCCAAAACATAAAGCTGCAAAAGTAACACAAAAGTCAGCTCCACGTGTAGGAGGAAAGCGTTAAATTTCAATACTATATAAATAAAAATTAACTTTCTATTTAAAAAATGTATTTTTTATTTCACTGGAAAAATTTTTTTAGGAATTTAGGTAATATCGATATAATCAACGATTTAAACTTTGTAAAGTGTCGATAAAAATACTTAACATAGCAATTAATTTTAAACATATAAACCAAATTTTATTGGTTAATATACAAATTTTAGTTTTAACGCAATATCGATGGGTTAACTATTTATTTTTCTTATTCATTTCTTTCTTTAATAAAGATAACTTTGTCAAAGCTTCATCTCTCCATGCACGCCTTTCTTGAAGTTTATCTAGTGGACACATCTCATTTAATTCATTACTAATTTTTTCCGCCATTTCACCTTCAAATTTAGGAACTGGACCAAACGTCATGCTTGTATCATAAATTGAATTTTTGTATGTTTCGCAATACTTTTTCATTCCTGAAAGAAATATAGTATAATAAAATAATTTGATAAACCTATATTTTTAACAATAAAAAATGTTACCTTCTGCATTTAAATGCGCGGCTTCAAAAGCTCCAAGGAATGCATACCGCATTCCGAGACCTTCACTCATAACTGCATCTATATCTTTCGCACTTAATATTCCATCGGCTACTAATCTCCATGCTTCATTTAAAATCGCATATCTAGAAGTACATATTAATTTTTTCCAATAAATGTTTAGAGATTATTTAAGAGATCCGGACATACGAATTTAAATAAAAAATTTCCGTACTGTATTCGGTTCAAAGCAAATCCATCAATTTCCTTACTGAATACAACAGGTGTTTGGCCTATTTCACTCATAATAGCCTTTGTTTGCACTGGTACATCAGCACGTGTCCATGGAGCAGGTACAATTTCTACAAGGGGTACGTAGTAAGGAGGATTCACCTATACATAAAATAATATAAATGGTTAGTCATTTTTAGGAATTTTTTAAACTGTAAGTTTCTTTATTAATCATTATTTCATACATATAGTTCAAAAGTATACGTACCGGATGCGATACAATAACTTGTTCACGATGTTTTAACTTTTCACTAAATAAAGATGGACGGAAAGTAGACGTTGAAGAAGATAGAATTACTTTATTATCGACTACGTTGTCAAGTTCATTGTAAACTTTAAGTTTCAATGGTAAATTTTCAGGAACACATTCCTGTATAAGTTTAGCGCCTTTTACAGTTTCAGTCAAATTAGATGATCCTGTTAATAATTGTTCAAATTAATACATAAAACTTTTTAGTTGCCATTAATCTTTCAATCATTCTAATTTTACGTATAGTTGATTACAAATTTATACACAAACGTGTATACAAACCTTTAATTAATTTAAATTGTTGATCCGCGGTAAGTGTGCCTCTTAAAAGAGCGCCATTTTCGAGACGTTTCAATTGCACATGAATATCTTCAAGGGCACTTAAGATTTGTTCTTTTACAATGTCATAAATAATCACTTCGTAGCCTACACTAGCAAAAAGCATTGCCCAGCTTCGACCGATTAAGCCGCTAAAATAATTATTATATCGTTACTATATTATAAATTTAATTAATGTGTCCAATATTAATCATATTCTATTCTTTTGTGTTAATTATTTACTATTAACTATAAAGCTGAAAAGAGACATTACATTTAAAATATTACATCTTTAATGGCACATTACGATGTAAAAAATTTGTAAAAAATGTTTATGTAATTCTACACTATTTATTTTTGTTTAACTATTCGCTATTATCTTATCAGAGGAGTAATCTATGAGGGCATCAGTTGTTGGGTTTTTTGGTGAACTATCAGTTAAAAACATATCGTAGATAAACGTAATTTCCAATATTATTTTCCTGTAAGAAATGTCTAATACAACTATTACATTATCTTTCTTGTAAATGTCATTTTATACGTTCACTAAAGTATTTTTGTACTTATTATTGCATTAAATATTATTGCTTTACATTTTTTAAATAATAATTGATAAAAAATACTAAAGAAAAACAGTGTTATAACATTATGAGATATCATAGTAGGATATCAAAATTTGTATTTTAATTGTTGGTAGTTAAAGTGACTTTATTTTTATTATAAAAGAACGAAATTCTATGAAATACAATTGGATATAAATAGTTTTATTGTTTATTTATTAATTCTTAATAAAATCAATTCTATAAAGTAAAAGTCCAATTACCTGCCAATAATACCAATTTTTTCGTTTTTCGCCGACATTATGGAGCAATTAAATCGCTTTAAAAGATTTATACTACTACAGAACTTGAGATTGAAGCGTATGTAACACGATGTTTGACACCACGTAACTCGCCTTCCTTTTCTAAAGCGTATATATATATAATCATGAGATATCCCCACCACGGACATTTGTTTTCGATTTGTAAGACATGGTTCCAATTGTATTCAAACATTTTTAATAATATTTATTAGTGATCTGAAAATTTTATTTATATATATATATCAAATTATGTAGAATTAAAGTACGCTATCATTTAGAATCATGAGTACATATAATTTCAAGATTCTCAATATTTTTATTTACAAAATTCGTGAAAAGTTCAGACAACGTTGAGTGGGTTCTTTTAATTACTTGCTACAACCCTTTTCTTGAGAGAAACCTATTTTGAAAGAATAATTGGTTATTGTTAATTAAGTTTATGCGGGGAAAAACCTACACTGACGTCAAGGTTATAATATGACGTAGTTATTCAGATAAGTAATACCGATGTTCGATGAGTACGTGAACGTCTTACGAGTCACATCGTGTTGTCAAAGTTTGTTTCATTTGTCAAACTTTTTTATGCTTAATATTTGTTATTTATAAATTTTATTATATCTGAAGTAGTGAACGTTTCTTTATTTGTGTGATTTTTTTCCAATAACGCATAATGCCTGAAGTTTACGGGAATATAACGTTAGAGAATATTTTTTATGGGAATATTTGTGAAAATCAGGAGTTCGTTCCTCTTGGATATGGTAATTCTCATTTTATTTTTACTTTACTTTTTTAAACGAATACGTGATATATTTATTATATTAATCCTTATTATTTTATGTATTAAGTTTTCAAGTAAAACATGGTCCTTTTGTTTGTCTTAATTGAAAAGATGTGTATACATGTATATCTTTTGATTTAAGAATTACAGACAATGAGCAATCAAGGTGTTTATAGTCCCTATAGTGGATCTCAAGCAACAGCAAGTGTTGGGTCACCAATGTCTACTTCATTGTCACCATTACATGGTACTGACTTTATATCAATAAAAAATGCAACAGGTATAATATTTTATAGTATATAATATATATTTTCTTTTATG